CGCTCCAATGCAGTGAATTCCTGTGCCATAGCTTCCCTCCAAGAAGCATATCTGCGGCTTCCCTATATGATGTGGGAACTGGAGAAGCATCAATAGCACCAAGAAAGCCCTTGTACCTGTTATGCAACTTATCATAATGAACATAGTTAGTAATCGGGAACCGTGTACCAGACGAGACGGAGCTAGGTGAAGAGGGAGACGGAGTGACGGTAGACATAGAATGGAGGACATAATCATTGAGGTGGGAGGGGAGGCGACGTGTGCGAGGAGGTAAAGGAGATGGAGGCGGGACGGACGAGGTAGCCTCGCCCGTCGACTGGATAGTGATGGGAAGAGGGAGCTGTTCGGTTGACGGGACAGGGACGAGGGACGGGGTTGGGGACGGTGGCGGGCTGGGCTGCTCGGTGGTGAAGTCACTGAGGGAGGCAGCCGGCTGAGAGACGACGGGAAAATCGACGTCGGCGGGGTTTAATACGGGTTGGACGGAACTGGTAGTGTTTGGGACAGAGAACGGGAATTGTGATTCGTCAAACACGACATCCCTAGCGTGAAAAAACTGGTGAGTGTCCAAGTTATACACCCGCCACCCTTTTGTTCCATAGGGATACCCAATAAACATGCATTTCACGCTACGGGGAGAAAATTTGTTTAGGGGTTTAGGTGATTGACGGACAAAACAGAGACAACCAAAAACCCGGAGATGACTCAAATCTTGTGGTTTAGATGAAAGTACTTCAAGAGGAGATTTCCCACCCAAAAGTTTTGTCAGTGTGCGATTAATTAAGTAAACATCAGTTTTGACACATTCCCTCCAAAATTCAACTGGAAGAGACGGTTGAAACATGAGAGAACGAGCAACGTGAGAATGTGACGATGCTTTCGTTCTACTCGACCATTTTGCTGAGGGGTACCAACACACGACATTTGGATACAAACATCCATGGAATCATAATATTGACGCAAAGGGGCATTGAGAAATTCGCTGCCATTATCAGACCGGACTACTTTGATGATTTTAGAGAATTGGGTGTGAATCATGGTAAAAAACCGTTTAAGACAAGCAGTTACCTCACTTTTAGTACGAATAAGATATACCCAAACAGCACGAGAAAAATCATCAATAATTGTGAGAAAATAATGAGCAGCAGAGGACAAACAAGGGGAATATGGGCCCCATAAGTCCCAATGAATTAAATAAAAAATAGCTTTAGCTTTATTATGACTGACAAGAAAGGAAGAACGAGTTTGTTTAGACAAAAAACAAATCTCACAAGCTTGAAGTTTCTTGACAACAGAACTAGATTTATTATTAGAATTAAGAAGGGAGAAAATATCTGGGGAAGGATGACCCAAACGTTGGTGAAGAAGCACAGGATCCACGTTCGCCACATTAGCCGACGTAGAGGAAGAAACTAGGATGTATACTCCGTTTCGCTTTTCACCATCTCCAATCGCCATCTTCGACAAACGGTCCTGTATTACACAACCAAAATCATTAAAAGTAACATAACAGGTGGTGTCTCGAATCAAACACCCGACAGAAATCAAATGACAATGCAACGTGGGGACGTAAAACACATGATGGAAAACCAGACAAGGAGTCACACGGACACTTCCCCTTTTAGTAGCTTGAATCTGAGAGCCATCGGGAAGACAAATAGGATGAGATAAAACATCCTCAATATTGAACATGTGAGACAAAGTACCTGTCATATGATGAGAAGCACCGCTATCAATCAACCAATCACACGAGGTACTAGTCATCTTGGACGGAGCAATTGTGGGAAAAGCTGCTGCGCAATTGGACACACTACTACAGCGAGGCTACTGCGGCAATTGGAAGGAAACAGAGGGATGACCGGCAAACAGGGACGGCGATTCTTTGCAGATTTTGGCGACTTCTACGGAAAAGGGACAAATCTAGGACGGCGAATCTAGGCGAACAGGGACGAATCTGGGTGGCGACTTCAATGGGCAAACAGGGATAAGCCGGAGACTAGGACGGAGACGCGCGTTTAGAATCGGAACAGGCGACGATGGCCGACTTAGACCAATGACTTGGACGGAGACTCCCAACCGGGGCAGAGATGGCCGATCCCGTGAAGGTGACAGCGGAAGAGACTTGGACAGTTCACCGACAAGGGACTCACGACGTTCCGGCGTGGACAGCCGGCGCAGACAACCGGCGAACGAGAGACGAGACTTGCAGCGGCAGACCTAGGGTTTCACGTGATATCCCAGGTTTAGCTCCGATACCATGTCAAGGAACCATCTCAACCACAAGCTCAAGCTTATGGTTGTGGTGCAGGAAATAAACTGAATTTGGTAAACTAAATGACTTGGTTGTTTCATTGATACCGAAGGATATAAATACAAGTTACAAGCCCAACACGACAGGCCCACAATATTACAGAATAATATACATAAAATAATATATACATAATATACGCTAACAATATGTATGTGTATGCTCCGTAATTATTGGTGTTAGAATAAAGGCTCAACGCTAGAGGGGGGGGGGGGTGAATAACATTTAAAGCAAAATCACAGAAATTTAAAACGAGGAAGGTAAAGTAACGAGCGCAAGGAAGGAGCACACCATATTTTACCTTGGTTCACCACAACGTGTGGCTACATCCATCCTCCCGAGAGATTCTCTCGAGTTACACTAACTCCGCTAAGTTTAAAGGTGCTTAACAAATCGATACAACCTGAGAACTTGAGTCACACGAGCCTCAACTCCTTTTGCTTGGAGATACCGCACTCTAAGACTTCTTACGAAGGAATGAAAACTTCCTCCTAATTACAACAAGAGAACAAACCTCCCTTCAAGTGTATAAAAACACTTAAACACTCAAGAATAAAACTCTCACAAAGAGAAGACATGAGTGAACTAGTAAACGATCAAAAACACGACAATTCCTTCAAAAACTAGCTCTCAAAAATCTAAGAAATATGAAAGATGATGATGCAATAAAAGAGTATTGATTGTTGAAGAATTGTGTGAAAAATGAGAGGATTTGAGTTCCATTTTATAGGCTAAAATATGGTGTCGCTGTTGCAAGAGTTCGAACAAGATCAGGACAAAAAATTTAGAGTCACAGACTGATAGTCAATTATCTTAACATGATTATCGATTATCAAAACATTCCTTGTCCAAAAATTGAAAATTTTATCCGTTGGAGGGAAACGGTAACACTGATAATTGATTATCAATAATCTGATAATCGATTATCAAACCTCTTAGAGAATTCTGGGTTTGTCTACAAACCCTGATAATCGATTGTTCAAGTATAACAATTGATTAATGGGTGCTTCTGAACAATGAGTTCAAAGCTTCAGGGGCTGATAATAGATTGCTGAAGAGTGACAATTGATTATCACTCAGCTAAGACCCAGCCAGCTAAAACCCAACTTTGAAACTTGAGGTCCAAAAACGAAGTGTTCCCAAAAGTAAAAACCAAGGTTTAAAAACATTGTATATGATACTCCCTTCGTCCCAAAAAGTTTGTCCCATTTTGACTAAAGTTGTAAAATAAGGAGGGATATTTTGGTGTTGACTTTCCAAAAATATCCTTGATGTGATGGGTAAAAGTAGGATGTGATGTGTAGATTATTAGGAAAAAGGTATGATGTGATAGGTAGGGTATGAAAAAGTAAGGGGTAAAAGTGGTTTTTTAATAGAAATGGGACGGACTTTAAGGGAAACAATTTTTTCGAAACGGGGCAGACTTTTTTGGGACGGAGGAAGTATAAAATAGAGAAACCAAGACTTGTTTATTAAAAACCAAGTCTTTGAGGTCGTAAGTCACATGTTGACAGCTTTGACCGATTTTCACATGTTAGACCAATTGACCATCATACGCAAGTGGTTTTTATAAAATAATTTTTTGGGAACCTTTTAAATATGCCTAGAGGTAAAAACCAAGTATAAAATATTAAAAACCACTTGGTTGGTTCGAACGCCAAATACCGAATACCATAATGTAACATCCCAATCCGTCTAGGTCTGGAGCCCCTTTCAGACTAAAGTATTAACTTGGTAATCGTAAAAATTTCAGACATATCAAATATCTTTATTTATCATAAATAATATTCAATACATAACAATAAAAATACAGAGTGTTTAATAATAATGCAGTAGCGAATTTAAAGCATGTCTCATAACAAAACATAATTATTTATTTTATCCATAAATCCACCATGACTGTCTCGCCCCTTCTGCTGCCAAGAATATGCCAATCATTCATTCTGCCTACTTGCGTGTAGCAAATAAAACACACTACACACTCAATGGTGAAGCTGAGTAAGCATATCTAAAGCGTCGAACATCCACATAAATTGAATCTCAATTCATAATCAACCATTTGATATCATGCACAAATTAAATATTCAAAGAATTCATGATATTCTCCATATTTTATTCCAAGTTATTTCAATATTCAATATCTCAATAATGCTCTTAAATTATTCTTAATCTAAGGCCAAATCATATTATAACAAGCTCTTAGCTATTCCTAGTATAAGACAATATTTCTAACCAGGCTCTTAAACTATACATAGTTTAAGGCAGAACACAAGAATCAATAATCCACCCTATGAGTCATGTGGATAACGTACCATCCGAACAGTGAACTGTCGGGCGGGTGATATCTGGTCTGGATCCCGTACCTACATTTTCAATCCGAATTATAAATTGGTTAAGAAGGTATATCTTAGAGGTCTTCTAGATATCCTTAATAATTATGATCAATTTCCAAATGGGTATATCTTAGAGTTTTTCTAGATATCCTTAATGACATACACACTACTACAGAATGGGTATGTAATATCGCATTTTACATAGCGGAAAATTAATAAGCGCTGTCTTTTGTTTTGGGGTATAAACCTTTTGGGGTAAAAACGCGCGCATAACAAAAAAATAGTACACTTAATTTTTTCTTAATTGTTTTCGGAATAGTTTACCAGCCTATAAAAAAATATTTGCTGCTTATTGCCGATCCCTAAATTAACATCATCGCTGGTGATTAGAGACAACGCCTCACTCCATCCAACAGATCGACGCCATCCCTTGTAGCGATCATCCTATCACCTCCGGCCTATTTCCAGATCACGTCGACGAGTGTAATTGGTGTCCTTGCACGAGAATCGCCTATCTTATGGGAATTTTCTTTCTCAATCCCTTAAGCCTTTGGCTACAAATTAAGGTTAGCTATGCTCTATTTTCTTTACATTTAATGCGAATTTGCTTTCTCAATCTTCTCTTTGTTAAATCTTCTCTACGGCACCAAACACTTTAGAGTCTGTAGTTTGAGACCTTAGTTCGGTTATTGGGGTTTGGACAGCAGATTCTTATTCTAAACCCATAATTTTGACCCATAATTGGATATCCAGATAATTTGATGCAAATATTCACCTTTTTTGGTTCAATTAAACAATATATCGAATTGCTCAAAAGACATGTGAATTCCACAGTCTAGCCAGGCTTCACGGTCCAACTTCTGGTTGGTATCAATGTGAGGATTCATCCCCTGGCCTCTGCATCTGTATTACATCCTTTCCTAGAGTATTGAGGATTCATCCCATCAGCGTAGGGGCAACACAATTCAGATTCAAGGCATATTAACAATTGACTTCATAACCTTCCTATTTTATACAATTATAATTCCAAAAGATATAATTCTAAAGCAAAAAGGAAAACTATGGGGCAAAAGACCAGAACAACAACATTGGAACAAAAAATAAGACAAAGAAAAAGGAGAGGGAAAAGGCTAACATATTCCATACTACTTTACAAGAAATGTAGCTTTCAAAGTTATGTTAGTAGTGAGTCCTTTAATCTATTTTGATATGGGTACTAGACTTCGTAGTTTCATTAAGTGTGAATGCTCTTTTTAATTCATCTGCTACCCAAATTTTATATTAAAAAAGAGTTTCTATAACTTTTAAAAATTGAAAATGAACTACATTTGAATGATATGCAATGTGTTCATGTTTTTTAGTGATGCACATCAGGCCCTGATTCTGCATATGCGCTTTGTGATCTACTTAAGAATAACTTCAAAAACTACATTTCTTGTAATGTAGGCTCATCATTCATACTAATCATTCATCATAATGATCAATCAACATAATATTCAATAGTAAATAGCGGCCTAGTTTCGAGTGTTAACACCTGAACTTACCATCATGTATCATATAAGATTTTATTTGGTCAAAAACATCATTTTTGTAACACCCTTCGTCTCGCGAACCCGGTTCGCCGCGGCCCAACAAGTCGAAGAGGTTATATAGACGGTTTTTAGGACCATCCATAGGAAAACTCCTTGCGTTACTCCTGTAACTGAAAACCTTTGATTTATTTATTAAATGATGGAAATAAATTTCCTTAAAGGAAATGTTTCATAGAGGAAGTAAATAAGAGAAGTAAATATTAAGTCTCGAATGCAGTAAATATAACAATGTGGGTTCAAGCGCAAAACCGTCTTAAGTATTAAATGGAAATTAAATCGGGTCCACACTGTCACCTATCTGCCACCCCGATCTCCTAGTCATCCGCGTCAGGCTCCATGATCATCCTTTCTACCTGCGTATAGCAAAAACAACATTATACGCTTAGCATAAGCTGAGTGATAATCTAACAGTAGAACGCATATTACATTCACATTGATATAAACATAATTTTACCTGTACCAAAGTACGAGATACCACATACAATTTTGATAAAAATAAGAGTTTCAATAAAAGAATAAAGCAATGCAAAATAGTTCATGATGCATGAGTTAGACCGTGCAAGGACCCCCTGCCATTCGGCGATCATGCCCACGACGTAGATGAGTCGAGGAACGCCTTAGTCTCCAAAAGGAGCCTAGAAACTATGGGTGGTAACTGAATGCCTAGTTACCATGTACGTACACAAGCGCTCCTGATGAAACCCGTTGGATCCCAAAGGCTCCTAGACGGGCTCGCGGAAGAGGCGCACTAGGCCTGACCTCTTGTCGCGGTATGCAAAGCATGCCATGATCCTAAAACATGCGTCTAGGATATACATTATGATATGAATGCATTGCTTGAAAATAAAGTTGAGTTCAATGCATACATATAGGTTTGATTCCATATGAAAATGATTTTTTTCACAACATGATGGCCCTGGGTTCTGAACGGGATGAGAATCGACTATCCATTGGCGATAATCGATTATCAGGGATGGCAATTCCTACCCCAAGATTCTGCAGCCTCTGATTGTCGATTGTCCCCTTAGGACAATCGTTTGTCAAGTTGGTTTGTCCAGAAATCGTAAGTTTAGAGAGGCGTGATAATCGATTATTGCTCTATGATAATCGATTATCAGTGGAATTGATCGAGTAGTTTTTTTTGGAGTATAAACCTTCCCACTAAAGGGTTAGTTTTATCCCCGAGTTGTCGTTCTCTAGAGGAGTGGACGAAGGGAATTAATTCAACTTCTCTAGTTTGCCACTGGGATTTAAAAAAAAATTCAACTTCTCTAGTTAGGCGAAGATTTGGATTGGTTTTAGAAGTCTTCTCGATGCGAAAATAAAAGGGGAAAAGAAATGATAAATACAAGAAAATAAATTTATTCACATAGTACAAGTAGGAATTGGATCTAGGGCCAAGACATCATTTGGGTTTACTTAAATTAATTAAATTAATGATTGGAAAAATCGTATTTCTACTACCACTCATCTATTTCTAGTTTCGTGATTACCCTAAACAGATCTTGAATAATTCAGCCTTTCGGCGTAAAATATTTTCTCAATAAAAAGTTAATTAAATATTTCTATATTAATTAACCAGTTAAGGCAAGAGCAAATTCAGAATAAAAATTCCAGCATTAATTCCGCAATAAAAAGCATAACCACAAACTAGCCCGGACCCTAGGGGTCCGAACCCTAACTCATACTATGGAAATAATGAACTAAAATAACGGCATAATATTAAAAGAAATCTACTTCCTGTTTCCGGACAAGCAGAATGATAGCACAAAATCTTGGAAAGAGGTGTGGGCGACAAATGCACCAGAGTACCCTTAAAAATATTCCTAAACCACTAAAATATGAAAAAACTGTAAAAAAAAGGGGTGTAAAACCCGAGAAAGGCAGAAAACTGCTGCTGATGTGATTATGGTTCGTGACAGGGGAGGGTCCGTATTTAAAATAATAGGAGCCCGGGCGTCCCAGCCCCAAGCGTCCCTCGAGGCGTCTGGCTGCGGACGCCTCGGCTCCCGATCCATTTTGGTGGCGACGCGTGGCAATCTTGTGGAAGACGAAACCTGAAGCGTCTGAAAGTCCAAGCGTCCCCCCCTCCAAGCGTCTGGGCGGGACGCCTTGGCTTCTAGTTCTTGCGGCGCACGAATGGTCTTCCGTGACCTATGCGGATTGGGGTCCAATTGGTGCCCATTTCGTTCCTTTTTGGCCTATTGTGCGAATCTTGACCTAGGAGGAGTCCATCTTTGACCCGGAGTTGATAATTTTACCCTTTTCTCACATAATTAGTCATGAAATGGTAGATTTGACTCAATTTTCCTTAAAGACCCTTTTTATGACTAGTAAAACAAATTAAAGCATTTTTATCCATGAAATGCACAATTAATGAAACGATTAAATACTATTTACGTGCAATAATGCTAAAATATGATAAAAATATAAAAATCCTTGGCCGAGACTTCTCTCTGGCGACATGCTGCTACAGTAGCCGTCACCATAGCCATCGACCTTGAGCGCTCATCTGTTGGTGTCTCTCCTCTTTGAGTGTAGATTCTGCTTCCCCATCCTTGGGCGAGCATTTCTACCGGTGCTTTTGTCCTCTCGTGCTCTAGGTTGAGAACGGTGGTCGATTCCACTCTCGCTTACTGTTCACTTTCTTCTCCAATGTTTCTTGGCCACTCCCTCTGATTCCCCTGCTGCTATGGGTTCCGGCAAAGCCCAAAGTGGTAAGAAGATTAAGAGGAAGGTTCCCAGAAGCCCTAAGAAGAACGGGGCTGAAGAAGATGCTACGAAGGCTTCCAGCTTGGCTACGGACATAGCTATGCAAGCACTTGAGAAAGAGCGGGCCCAGACTTCTTCTTCCTCGTCTGCAACGTCCCCTCCTTTTGTTGAAGTTGTCCCAGAACGCGCTCCTCAGGTGGGGAATACTACTGAGCAGACCACCCCCCAGGTGCTTGACAATATGCCTGAACCAGAGAAGGCTGCTGCCAAACCCGTTACCTTTGCTGACCTCTTCAAAGGTAATAGGGACCCTGACCAAGGTATGACTTTGAAGCATTATGATGTTGGTGAAGGCGTTCTCCATATC